TCCTGGGTTCAATTCTAGTCAAGGGCATGTACCCTGGTGGCAGGTACATCCCCAGGGCGGGGTGTGCAGGAGGCAGCTGGTCGATGTTTCTCTCTCATTGATGTTTCTGGCTCTCCCTTTCCCTTCCTCTCTGTAAAAATTCAATAAAACATATTAAAAAAAACACACACCTGTATTACACAGTGTACATTTCAAGTTTTCATTATTTTCATTGATATAGGTGCATTAACTGTGAATATTGTATTTAAGGGAATAAACTAGGCCTGTGGTTGGCAAACTGCGGCTCAAGAGCCACATGCAGCTCTTTGGCCCATTGAGTGTGGCTCTTCCACAAAATACCATGGCCTGGGGAGTCTATTTTGAAGTCTATTACAAGAAGTTTAAGTTAAAAAAATTTGGCTCACAAAAGAAATTTCGATCGTTGTACTGTTGATATTTGGCTGTGTTGACTAATGAGTTTGCTGACCACTGAACTAAGCTATCTGTTTCCTGTATGGGAGCAGTGGGCTCCCATTGTTGGGAAATTTAAATGTAAAGGTGTAATTTGAAGTCCTGCCAAGATCTTTAAAATTGACTCATTTAAATACTGATTGCTTCAGATTTTTTTCTCTTAGTTTTCCTCGTCCTTTTAAACATATTTCGTTTCCTCTTTTTCTGGAAGCTGGAGATTTTTGGAAGAAAAGCTAAAAAGAATAGATAAATTAAAAGCTATGGGATCTTAGCCCTCTTATATCTGGAAAAAAGCTTGTATTTAAAACTGAATTGTGAGCCCTGGCTGGGTGGCTCGGTTGGAGCGTCATCTGGTACACCAAAAAGGTTGTGGATTCAATTCCAGGTCAGGGCACACCACCCAGGTTGCAAGTTCAATCCCTGGTTAGGGCGTATAAGGGAGGCTACCAATTGATGTTTTCTCACATTTATGTTTTTCTCTTTCTCCCTTTTTCTCTCTCTGAAGATCATTAAAACTCTGGCCAGTGTGGTTCAGTTGGCTGTGTACAGTCATATTTCCTTCAATTTCCAGTCAGGGCACATGCCCAGGTTGTGGGCTCTCTCTCCAGTAGAGGGTTGCAGGAGGCAACTGATCAGATGTGTCACTCACATCTTTGTTTTTCTATCCCTCACTTTCTAAAAATCAATACAAAATATTTTGAAAAATCAGTAAAGAAGTATCCTTGGGGGAGGATTAAAAAAATACACCTAAATGTGAGAAGCATCTTATGTAACTAAAAAAAAAATTCCTGCTTCTGTCTTGAACTCTTTTTCATTTGTAGGTGTTTTCAGATTAATTGAGACTTTCAAATGATTTCCAGGGTATCTCTCCCCTTGCCCTTTGTTAGAACTTGTTCATCTCATCTCAGTATTTGTGTTTGTCTTCCTGGATGGACTGAAGCAAGGAATGAGTTAGATTTCTTATTTCTAATTTCCAGCACAATGCCTTAATGAGAGTACTAATGGTTTGTTGAATGAATGAATGTGAAATTTAAAAACAAACTCTGCCACTCTCAGAGGAGTGAAGGGAAGATTGGGGATGGGAAGTGAAAGACAGATTGGTCCTTAGTCTTGTTCGGTGTAATACCAGAGAGTGAAACTTCAAACTCGTGGGTCAGAGTTAAAATGAACAGGTTTTATTTCATGATAAGAAAAACCTTCTGACAATTCAGCTTCAAGAGGAATTTGTTTTCTTGAATTGCTGGGAATAATTTGATCATCTTTATTTATTCACTGCCTTGCTTCCACACTCCTGTATTTTAAAGGAAGGTCTCTGGAGTACCCAGGGCAAGGGAGTTGTGAGATAAAAGTATTAATACAACTCTGGCTGGTTTTTCTCAATCGTTAGAGCGACTGCCCACTGACAGAGGGTTATGGGTTCAATTCCTGGTCAAGGACATGTACGGGAGGTGACCAGTTGATGTGTGTCTCTCTGATGTTGATGTTTCTCTCTTTCTCTTGCTCTCTCTCTCTTTCTTCCCCTCCTCCATACCCACCATTCTCTCTAAAACTCAATGGAAAAAATATCCTCAGGTGAGGATTTTTTTTTAAGTATTCAGAAATCAAGCAGATCTGGGCTTTTATTCTGGGGCCTGACACTTGTACCTTAGTCAAATTGCTTTAAGCCTAAATTTGTAATAATACAGTTATTAATAGCTTCTAACTGTATAGTCCTTATTTTTTATACTAGCCCTGTATTCATTAACCTTCTCATGCAACTGCCTGCAAGTAGGTACTATTACCACAACCATCCCCATTTCTAGCAGCTCAGTGAGAGTGTTCAGTGCCACTCTGCCTTTCTTGTTTGGCTTCACATTTTTACATAGTCTGGGAACCTAAACTATTTACTAATCTGAGTATTACTTGGTATGCATGAGGTCAGAGATAAAAAAGATAATTTGTTGTGATAATTTGTTGAGGCAAGCCAAAATGAGGACTTCTATTGATTGGGTTTATTTCTATCTGATATGATATCTTATTTTCCTGGAGAGTATTAGGTAAAGCCAGTCAAACCTCTGACTCCCTTTCCTAGCTTCTTTAATTATAACTCTCAACTATTCCTGACTTAGTTTTGTTGTTGTTAATCCTCACTTGAGGATATTTTTCTGTTGATTTTTAGAGAGAAAGAGAAGGAAGAGGGGAGAGAAACATTAATGTGCCTCACATTAATTGGTTGCCTCCCACATGTGCCTTGACTGAGGCTGGAGATCAAACCTGCAATCCAGTAGGTGCCTTTGACCGGGAATCAAACCAAGACCCTTAGGTGTATGGCTGATGCTCTGACTATTGAGCATACCTGCCAGGGCATTCCTGACTTAGTTTGTGTAAATATTTGGCCTTTGAAATGGGCTTGATGGATAGCTCATCCTCACATAACACTTTTTTTTTTTCTTATGGATAATTTCTGTTGTGATAAACTATAAATTTAGGTAAGTGTTTATGAGGACAAGAACAGTCACCTACAGCCTGTTTTTTTCTTCCAGTTTCTCCCCCCTTATGCACATGAGATTTAATGTGAGCTCAAAGTGGTATAATTTTGCATCCTGCCTTTTCATGTAATACAATATATTGCAAGCAGATTCTTTCTAAGATGTGATGGTATTACACATCAGATATAAGGATCCACTTCTGTGATTTTTCCACATTCATCCATTGCAAAGATTGTGCTCCTATGAGGCAGATGGGCATTATAGGCTGTAGAGATCTAAAGTTTAGTGGGAGAGCCCTAGCTGGTTTGGCTTAGTAGTGGATAGAGCATTGACTTGTGGACCAAAGGGTCCCAGGTTTCATTCCAGTCAAGGGCTCCTCCCAGGCCCGGGTTCTGGTCGGAGCCTGTGCAGGAGGCAACCAATTGATGTTTCTCTCACATTGATATTTTTTTTCTATCTTTCCCTTTACCACTCTCTCTAGAAATCAATGGGAAAAATATCCTCAGGTGAAGATTAAAAAAAAGAAGTTTATTGGAAGAGAATTTTGTTAGGGGTAGCTTGCTTTATGGAGGTGGCCTGCTCAAATTCCCTGAGAGCTCAAGAGTGGCTCCATCTCTATCAAAACCACCACTAGTCCCTAAAGATAGGTTTTACTCCTAGAAAATGATCATCAATCCCAGTACCAAAAAGAATTACTTAGGAAAATATAAATTGTCAGAATGGCAAATAAGAAGTAGAAAATATAAATAGATCAAAGAAAGTATAAATAGGTCTTTCTTGTCCAGCCTTCCAAAAGTAAGGCCAGAAATCAGTGTATCAGTTTTTGTTTGCTTCATTTATTTTTAAAAATATATATATTTTATTGATTTTTTTTTATAGAGAAGAAGGGCGAGGGAAAGAGAGTTAGAAACATCGATGAGAGAGAAACATCAATCAGCTGCGTCCTGTACACTCCCTGCTGGGTATGTGCCCGCAACTAAGGTACATGCCCTTGACCAGAATAGAACCTGGGACCCTTTAGTCCGCAGGCTGACGCTTTATCCACTGAGGCAAAATGGTTAGGTCTGTTTGCTTCATTTGTAGCTCTTAACATTCATAGCAGTTACAGCTTGCAGTTTTCATTTACCTGTGTTTTAAAAACATAATTTTTGTTATTGAATTCAGAGAGGAAGGGGAGGAAGAGAGAGAGAGACATCAATTATAAGAATCATTATAAAATACATTTTATTTCAGAGAGGAAAGGAGAAGGAGAGAGAGGGAGAAATAGCAATGAAGGAGAGAGAGAGAAACAGCACTTGGCTGCCTCTTGCATGCCCCTTACCTGGGATTGAGCCCGAAATCAGAGCATGTACTCTGACCTGGAATTTCCTGGTTCATAGGTCGAGACTCAACCACTGGGCCTACTGGCTGGGTTTGTTTATCTGTTTTCTGGCTACATTTTTGTTCTCCAATGGGTTGGAGGCCTCATGAGGGCAGGCACTCTTGTCTCTGTCTTTTTTTTATTTTATTTTATATTTTTACTGATTTCAGAGAGGAAGGGAGAGGGAGAGTTAGAAACATCGAGAGAAAATCATTGATTGGCTAACTCCTGCCTAGTGGGGATTGAGCCAGCAACCCAGGCATATGCCCTTGACCTGAATGAAACCTGTGACCCTTCAGTCTGCAGGCCCACGCTCTATCCACTGAGCCAAGCCGGCTAGGGCTGACTCTTAGTCTTGACTGTTTTCCTAAATAGTCTGTGCAGATATTTGGTGACTGTGTCAGCAAGTGGTTAAATTTAAATAATTAAATAAGTTGCCTGAGAGCAACTAATTGCTTTCTTGGAGTTCTGAGAGATGCCCTTTTATATGTAAGTCCTTTCTCTTCACAGTTCCAGAGATTACAAGGTGCTGCATAAAAGAGGAGGAACCAGTGGAGGGCACACCTGTGTTAGGATGAGGGGAGGAGTGAAAGGGGGGCAGACAGGGTTTCCTGGAGCTTTGTGTTCTGAATAATGCCTGTTTGTCCTTTATGTGTAGTGAGTGATACTACACTCTGGCACACTTTGCCTAAGTTTCATAAATATTTAATTGGCTTTTTCAGGAGAACAAAGGCAGCCCCGTTGATGACTGAAAATGACAAAGCATCCACCTAACAGACGAGGAATCAGCTTTGAAGTGGGAGCCCAGTTGGAAGCCCGGGACCGATTAAAAAACTGGTATTTTTACATTTTTCTGTTAATTAAATCCTTTCAGTAAAGGACTTTTGCTAGCATTGATAACGAGGGGTAGCCTGGGCTTTTCTGTAGTGTTTTCCTGCTCCCTGACTCTTGGAAGGTGGAAGGAGACAAGTCTAGAGCCATGGGAATGTCCTCTCTCTTTGGTGCAGGGTCCCCTGTGTTAGGGAGACCATTCTGTTACCTCTTGTTTTTTAAAAATTTAATTTCTTCTATTAATTTATTGATTTGAGAGAGAGAGAAACATTGATTTGTTGTTCCACTTATTTATACATTCATTGATTGACTCTTGTATGTTCCCTGACCAGGGGTCGAACCTGCAACCTTGGGATATGAGACAGCACTCTAACCAACTGAGCTACCCAGCCAGGGTCGTGACCTCTTGTTCATACTTGTTTACCCTTTCTGCCTCTTCATCTGAAAAGAGTTATGAGAAAAAGAGGAATGAGTGGCTATCGGGAAGGGAAGAGTTAATAGTGGTAGCTCTTTTGCTCGTGGCTACCTGTCTTTAAGAGAAGAAGAAAGGCCAGGAATGGAAGAGGGAAGAAAAGGGTTAGATCAGAACAGGTCTTGTGTTGTGAACAACCCCTGCTGTTTTCTGGGTGTGTTGTATGGTTGAAATTTAATTGTCATAATTTAGGGGTGATTAGATTCAGAAGCTGAGGGGTTGTATTCTTTGTCATTGATGTCTGACCTCTGGCTGGTAATTAGCTGCTTTGAGCATCAGCTTCATCTATAATTGTGGGTAATAGTTGTATTGACCTCAGAGTTTTATCTGAGAATCAAATTATGGGATATGTAGGGAAAGTCCTTACAAAGTATAAAATGACAATGGTTGTTGAGACATTCTAGAATTTCCTAGAATGTGAAGGTAGGGATTTCAGAACTCAAACCTTTCTGAGTTAAAAAAAATTTTTTTAAAGGAAAATTTGCTCTTTTTCACCCTCTGCTGATTAAAAAATAATATTTTTATTAATTTTAGAGAGAGAGGAAGGAGAGGTAGAGAAAGATGGAAACGTTGATGAGAGAGAAACATTGATCGGCTGTCTCCTACATGCCCCTGATTGCAGAATCGAACCTGTAACCTCTTGGTGCATGGGTCAGCACCCTACCACTGAGTCACACTGGCTGGATCCTTTCTGAGTTTTTATAAGGAAGAGTGTAGGCTTTCCCTCTGTGGGCCTCCCTCTTTAATATATATATATATATTCTTAGTGATTTCAGAGAGGAAGGGAAAGGGGGAGAGAAAGAGAAACATTAATGATGAGAGAGAATCATTGATCAGCTGCCTCCAGCATGTGCCACCCCCCTCCCCAACCCCTCACCCCCTTACCCACTGGGGATTTGAGCCGGCAACCTGGGCATGTACCCTGTCCAGGAATTGAACCATGACCTCCTGGTTAATAGATTGACGATCAACCACTGAGATACTGATGCCAGGCTATAATTTATATTTTTGCCTTTCTTTTTATATTGAAAATTTTTGTTCCTAATTACACTAATATATTGACCTGTTTGACTTACTCTGTGTTGTACACAAAAATAATTTCAAAAGTTAAATACCAATATTACTACTAACAAATCTGCTGCATGAGGTTGATGATTTTCTTGGCATTAAAAAAATAAAGATGCATCTTAGGATAAATTATATTTAATTTGTAACAAATTTTTATATTTAATTTATGTTAAATAGTATTTCAAGGTAAATAATGTGAGTTTCTTTTTAATACTTTAGCAGTATAATTTTATTTCTACTTTTTAAAAAACATATATTTTTATTGATTTCAGAGAGAAGGGAGAGGAAGAGAGAGATAGAAACATCAGTGATGAGAGAGAATCATCCATCCGCTGCCTCCCGCACACCCCACACTGCGGATTGAGCTGCAGCCCGGGCATGTGCCCCAGTGGGAAATCTAACCCATGACCTCCTGGTTCATGGTCAGTGCTCAACCACTATCCATGTCCTCTAAGCTCTACTTTTTTAAAAACAGATTTCTGTCCGAAACTGGTTTGGCTCAGTGGTAGAGCGTCGGTGCGGACTAAAAGGTCCCGGGTTCGATTCTGGTCAAGGGCATGTACATTGGTTGTGGGCACATCCCCGGTAGGGGGTGTGCAAAAGGCAGCTGGTCGATCTTTCTCTCTCATTGATGTTTCTAGCTCTCTATCTCTCTCCCTTCCTCTCTGTAAAAAATCAATAAAATATATATATAAAAAAATAAAAATAAAATAAAAACAGATTTCTGGGTTCAGTATGGGGCACAGAAGCTACATATTTTTATTTTTATTTATTTATTTTTAAAATATGTTTTTATATGTTTTAGAAAGAGAGGAGTGGAGAGGGGGAGAGAGATCAGAGAGAGAGAGAGAGAGAAAGAGAGAGAGAGAAGCATTGATGGGCTGCCTTCTGTGACCCTCCACTGGCATGGAGGTCCAAATCCTGGTATGTGCCCTGATTGGGAATCTAACTGAGGACCTCTGAGTGCATGGGATGACGCTCAGCTAACTGCGCCACGCTGGCCAGGGCTACATTTAACACCATTTTTAATGTACATATAGTAACATTCCCCCTTTTTTTGATGTACACACGAGTTCTAAGTGTGTACATCACATGTAGATTCATATAAGCTTATGTAGATTGGTATAAGCATCAACACTAATAGGAGATAGAACACTTCAAAGAATTATCTCATGCTGTACCTTTTCCAGTTTATAAATTAGTTTATTTGATTTTTTTTGTACTTGTTTATCTGTCTTCCCCACAAGAATGCAGGCTTAGTGAGGGCTAATCTGTTAGATTGGATTCTCTCAAGAAACTATGCAATTGATTTATTTGGGAACCACCTATAGGAGGAAATGGGGAGAGAAGTGAAGAGGCTGGGAGAGCTATCAGACTGCCTTGCTTAGTCTGACCCCTGTGGAGAAGAGAGAAGGAAGGTAGTTTTAGATAGCAGTGCAATTCTCAGAAAATTTTGTCAAAGGAGATTAGGAGAGTCCTCAAGCTGAAATGCAATAATTGAACTGGAAGGCGTGATGTTCCTCTGGGCAGGATGATTTTCAGGTCCTAGTCCAGTGGGGTCAAGAATGAAACCACGGACAAAAGGTGTTATAATGAAATATGGAAATTTATTCAGAAACAAGCACAGACTCCCACGTGGGGAGGGGGAGAGAGTCCCTTTTTTGCACGGTTTATAAAGGCAGTTCTTTTTGCCCTGACATCCCACCTCTGATTGGTCAATCCCTCTGATTTGGTCACTATAGCAACTTCAGAGCTCACACCTCATGTGAGGTATGTGAGGTTCTCCTTTTCTCCTTTATTATTTTTCTATTCCCTTTGGGCTTTCCTCTATCCTCTCTGAATGAGGGGCTTCCTTCCCTTTATTCTGTAAATGTATACCTTCTGCAGCTCTCAGCTCCCTTATTCTATGGAAATATATCTTCTGAAGTTCTGTAGCCCTCTGTTTTTTTTTATGGACTCCTTAATTCCTTAAATTTCCTAAAACCTGCCTATTTTACCCTTAAACACTCCTTTCAAACCCAAAGTTGTCAAGAGTATTGTCTCCCAGAAAGTCTTGTCTTAGTATTTCTACTTAACCATTGGCTAGGAGAAGTGTGGAGAAGGCACAGAGATGGTGATTGGTTTAGAGGTGTTACAACTGCAATCAAGGTACTAGCCACTTGATAAGGATGTGATAGGTGTATTTTTTTCTCTTCTAAGTTTTATTTAAATTCTGCTATTTATAAATCACTGTTATACATCTAAGGAATTGTATAGAAAGTGTATACAATAATTTCTGTTCTTAAAGAATTCCCCATAGCTCTGTTCTACCTGATTCCCCACCCCTCCCAATGCCCTTACCTCCTGCCACTGTCTTCATCCATAGGTGTAAGATCTTTGTCTAATCTCATCCCACACCCCTCAGACCCCCTTCCCCCTGAGAATTGTCAGTCCACTCCCTTTCTATGTCTCTGATTCTATTATATTCACAAGTCCATTCTGTTCTTCAGACTTTTTATTCACTTGATTTTTAGATTCACTTGTTGGTAGGTATGTATTTGATGTCTTTTTGTTGTTCATAATTTTTATGTTTACATTTTTCTTCTCTTCTTAAAGAATACTCTTTAGCATTTCATGTAAATGAAAGGGAGTTTGTAATATATAGGGAGTTTGTAATATATAAATTTGGGAGTTTGTAATATATAAATTTGGGTTTTCCATGGAGATCATTAGTTTTCAAAGCAGTTTATCTCACCAAACAGACTGTGGATAGTGATAAGAATCTGTCCTCTAATTTTGGACCTACCACTTTGGGGGGAACTTTCTATATGTTCTCTTCTTATTCTATAGGCAGAGTAATCCTGCCTGCACTCTTTTTTTTTTTTTTTTTAATATATTTTATTGATTTTTTACAGAGAGGAAGGGAGAGGGATAGAGAGCTAGAAACGTCTTGCATACCCCCTACCGGGGATGTGCCCGCAACCAATGTACATGCCCTTGACCGGAATCGAACCTGGGACCTTTCAGTCCGCAGACTGACGCTCTACCACTGAGCCAAACCAGTTTCGGCCCTGCCTGCACTCTTTATCTCCAGGGTTCTGTAGGTGCACTGTCTAACATGTGAGAAGCTACAGTTTCCTATTAATGATGCTTGATGAATAGAATGGAAGCTGCTTGTTCTAGGGTCTTCTTTGCCTCCTTCCTGCTATCTGTCAGGAGCACACTGTCTGCCCTGAACAGTAAGCCTGGCCTTCCCTGTTGATCTGAACATAGTAATGAAAAAAGCTCCTTTTGTCTTTTGCTTTCCTGACACTTTGGTACATTTCCACTACTTTATTTCCTTTTAAGTTGATTATAATCGCTTTCTATTTCAAAGGGATTTTTAAATCTGTTTCATAATTTCCTTAGCTCTCTTTTCTATTTCTTTTTTATTAGGATTATTTGCACTGATCAAGTTTGAGTTCCTGGCTCATATTTTTTCATTTCT